ATATATATACATGTTCAAGATATGCATGATGACATGTTTTAATACAAGTATACATACAAGATATGAAAATCATTTACATGTTATCATATGTGTTACACAAGGCATGAAAACTTTTACATGTTATGCATAACCATAATATCCAACGTATGGGATATTACAAGAAGGAATGTTTTGCAAACGAACCTTATAGGGCAGCCTTTCATGGAGCCGGGGGTTAGCAAACCCCAAGACAAGTATGGTATATATGCATGTGACAAGTGAGATCTCAAAAGAATGTTTTATACATGATAAAGAATATAGTATTTTATGAATGTTTATGCATGTAAAGAATATTTTTTATACATGATCAAGAGCTTTTATAAATTATCATTTACAAAATATCATGAAAATTTCTCATTCATGAAACTATAAATACTCACTAAGCTTATAGCTTATATATCTCATGTATGCATCTCAGGAAGGAAGTAAATGGTTTTGGTTTTTAAAGCAAGATTTGTTGTAATACAAATTATTACGTTTCCGCTAAAGTAGCTTCTTCTTTGATGTATATTCAAGATATGTATTAAAATAAAGAGAAATTCTCAAGTTCAGATTCAAGAAAGTCTAACATGTAAAGTAACGGTTCCCATATGATAAAGAGATTTGGGGTGTTACAGTTTCCCTAGGACTTCCATAGTGATCAAGCTCATCCAATTATAGATATCTGCAGGCATTCCGAGTAATTGAACTTATATTAATAATTATGAAACCATCATTTCATACCAAATGTTACCTATTTGTTTGGGATTTTCATCGGACAGGTACTTTTTTTTGCAAGGGATGAGTGATACCTTATGTTTCAGTTGAAAAATTTATTATATCATATGAGCAGAAAGCATATCATCTGTGCAAATGTAGGACGTTAGGTGGTATGATGAACTGATGAACATATGCTTGTTGAGAAATTTGAAATTAACTAGTGCCTAGAAATGTGAAGGTCCCAAATTCTAGTTTTCAATCTCCAAGATTCTCCTTAGCTTCAGGTTAAAAAAAATCCTAACACATCTATTAGTTGTCATTATCAAGGGCTTCCAGTCCCTTCTATGAAATAGGTGATAACTCTATTGCCATGTTTCTGTTTGTATGTATAATAATATATGATTTATAGATTTTTTGTGGTATAATGTTGCCAATTATAGGAGCAAAACAAAAATACAGTGAAGATGGATTTTAGATCAAGACAACCATGTATGTTGAACATGAGTGTGTGCTCCTGTCTGCAAAGGCAATGACCTCTTCATTTCTATGTCCGTGCTTCTCTATAAACAGCTGAAGCATAAAACCACGTTTCTTGGCAGTTCTTTCATGCTACATCTATGCTCATGCTTCTTACTTTTTTTGGTGTTCTCTTTAATCAGGCAGCAAAGAAGCATTTAACCCAGAGGATTGAGAATTTGGATGGGAAACTAGACGAGCAAGTGGAAATATCGAAATTAATTAAAAATGAGGTACATTTCTTAGGCACAAATTTTACGAAGATGGATTTCTTCTGCCATTCGTTGACATTAACATGTCTAAATAAGTACAAAGGGTTTGTTGAACTTGTGAAACAGGTGACTGATGTTCGTGATGATCTTTCGCAAATTGGCTATGACTTGGATTCACTGAATAGGATGGTTTCTGGTTTGGTGAGTTTTATTCAACGTGTTTGTTGGGACATAGCAGATAAGGCCTTGTTTGCCTTGTTTTGTTGCTCAAGTAGAAAATTATAGATAACATTTAATGAGAGAATGTAAATAGAAGGCTAGAGGAGGATAAAAGCTTTCTACAGTTTTCCCTGTCATAAGTGACAAAACATAACTGAACCATATATTTTCATAGCATGTATCAGTTTACAATTGGCATATTGTTGGTGTGTTTTTAGTTAGACAAAATCCTAGTATAACTTAACCAATATAATTAACTAACGTAGATGGGGTCAATCTAGAGAGCGAGTATGTTGAACTCCCCTCTTTAATTTAGGTTTGTTTGAAAATGGGTTAGTTCTTGTACTTACAATATCACTATTATTCCTCTTCTGTTTCATTCTTTACTTATGTGCCTTGAGATTTTATGTTGCTTTGTGACTTACTGATTCTCTGCATCAGACTTCACTTGTTAATTCAGCTTTCTTTTCATATCTTCTATCACCCTTCACTTTCTGTTAATTGGCGTGCAGAGTGGAAAGATTTTGACGTTGGAAGAAAAGCAGGTAAACCAACTACCATATCTTATATGATCTAGAAAAAGAACAGTATTTACGATATTCATTATGTCATTTTACTCCCCCCCAAAAAAAGAATCAGAGTAGCACACATGTGGCAAAAGGGTTCCATTTTTTGTGTGCATATACTTTTGTATTACTAACAAGAGATGTGTACGCCCTAGGAAAAACATCCCTAAAGCTGGTATCAACTAAAGATCGTTAATGACAATAGCTGGTAACCATGGCACACCAAGGGTCTTTGTATTGTGAGGGTTCGGGACAAAATCTTCGAGTGCAGCTTTTGACTTGCATTTCCATGAATCCACCCCTTGACCTCCCTACCACAAAGGAGTAACCTTACTGCCTACTGGTTGCTCCAACGCTCCCCTTGTAGTTTATGGACAAACATGAAAGAATCTTACCATTATGGGGATCGGGAATATTGGTGTACACCTCATATAAAGAAGTTTATCTCAAGGGGACTGATAGTATTGTTATGAGATTAAAAATATCAGTGAAGGTATCAACTAAAGATAGTTAATGACGAAAGCTGGTAACCATGGCACACCAAGGGTCTTTGTATTGCGAGGGTTCGGGACAAAGTCTTTGAGTGCAGCTTTTGACTTGCATTTCCATGAATCCAACCCTTGACCTCCCTACCACAAAGGAGTAACCTTACCGCCTACTGGTTGCTCCAAGGTTCCCCTTGTAGTTTATGGACAAAAATTAAAGAATCTTACCATTATGGGGATCGGGAATACTGGTGTACACCTCATATAAAGAAGTTCATCTCAAGGGGACTGATGGTATTGTTATGAGATTAAAAATTTCAGTGAAGAGGAATAGAAGATAGATGATGTAACTATAAGACAAAAACGAACATGACCAGTAAATTTACTTGATACTGATTGAATATGTCACTTCAGCAAAGTTATGCATGTTATTATTTTACATACATTTGCGAAAACAGCTGTCATTGGTAGAATTGCATAAATATTAATAACTCATCAACAAACATGTATGAAATTCACCTTCGTTACATGCTTATTGAGATTTATTACTGCATTTGTATCTCTTTTTTTTTTAATTTTTTTTCTTTGAGGCTATACTTAAGCAGTTTATGCAAACAGGATATGACTAATCTTGGAGTGTGGTACCTATGCAACAAGGCTGATGGACATAAGATCTCTGGCAAGGCACAGGTTGTACCTCTAGCACCCTTTAGCCTGCACTGTCATCTTCCCTATCAGTTGCCTTTTGATTTCTGTTATCTTGATGTTTAATTAACATCTTTGAGTGCAAGAATTATTTTAGGTCTGATTGATTATATTAATACCCTCTTATTTCTCTCCATCATCAGCATTTACACATATACTATTGAGCGTTTAATTTTTCATTAATGCTTTTGAAAGAACCAGTATTGGACTCTACTTATGTTTCTTAATGGAATGTCTGCCAGTATTTTGAATATATTTGACGTTAGTCCCTGTGATATAATTCGATATAGGAACAATTTAAGCTTGCTGGCAAGTCCTTCGGTGGTTATCTCTCATCTGGAGGAATGCTCACTCTTGAGGTTGGTCTCTGATATCTAATTTTTTTTTTCATGCAAGATAATTCAGCTCAAAGAAATAAAATCCTCAAGTGATATATTTCATCCATCCCAAATAATTGCAATGTTTGATTGGTTGGAAGTGTTTGGCTATAGTTAAAGTCTTAAATACAATTCAATAGATGAAATTGGGGGAATCTTGTGGTCCAAAATCAGGATCAGTGGTCAAACAAGTTTGAATTAAAAGCTTGCCCAAAAGGAAAAGTAGCAACTGATTTGGGATATCCAAAAAATAGCAATTGTTCAGAGACGAATGAGGTACAATACAAGTTGCTGAGAATGTTGCTGCCTTTTAGTCATAGCCTCATCATGAGGTTGCAGAACTCTTTATAATATCATTTTGGAGTGATAAATGTTTGTTACCATTGGCTTTGGTTATAGCTTTCAGAAAGGAAAAAAAACCAATGCAGCTGCAGAAATCGACCAAAAGAACTATACTTATTAACTTTGAACATTTGTAACAATTGTCTTTGAACATTTGTAGCTTTTTTCCAGTGTTTCTTACATCATAAGACTGTACTTAAGGTGCATGTGGATTTGTGAATTCATCATACAGGGAGTCAAAGAAATTGCTGACAATTTAGACTCGGGGGATGTCCCAGAAGATCAATCAAGAAGGCTGACCAGGTAAGAGCTTATAACTGCATTCTTACTACTCTCCATCCTATTTTATTTCTTGATTTAAAATTCACTGACACGTGAGAAATATTCGTATCATAGTCATAATCATTGTTTACTAAACAGTTAAGGCTTATGCCAATTTGCTGCATTGCTCTTATATGCTCCATAATATCAATTTTGTTGGTCTGAAACAGGAGAAATACGGTCAAGTTCATTCCTTGAAGGTTTGTGGATAGCATAGATGGTTCTTCATGCACAGTAAGAGATGGTATTACAACGAATCTTGAATAAGTCTTTATGGTAACTTATGTATGGGGTTGAAAGCAAATCATAAAGCTTATGATTTGTTTGTACATATTTACGTTAGTAGTTTTATCTTTGATGCTCCTAATCTGGCTGTCTATCATGTGCGTAGTTGTTTCGTATAATTATATGCTTGCATAGCTCTTTTGATGGAGCTTTTACTTGCTTTTGTTGCTAGAGTAAGTGTACTAGTGAATTAATTTTCTAACCATTCTACTTGACATTTTGTATCAAAGCAATTATGGTACTTGGAGAAATCTCAAAAATCCCTTCTAACTGCAAGATATGAGTATTTATCTATCGTAAGCTTGATCTACTCTTAGAAGTGCCACCGGAATCGGGTCTCGAGGCGTTTTCCGTCAACGAGGCGTAAGAACAAACGGAAATATAACCTTCATTTTACGAGAACGCGATAACATCTTTTTACTATAGACAATCACATGTGATACTATTATTGCATCACATATGATACAACATGTGATACTAAATCAGAGACGCGTACGATTTTCGATGCATTCTTGGTTGCGAGACAAGTCGCCCTTACACCACTAAGCCCCCTCACATGTGAGAAGGGTGGTGTTGATATGATACTAAAATCCATCAAGACCATCACATGTGATGCTAAATCATAGACGCAGACAACCTTTGACGCGAGCTAGGTCATAGAACACGTCTTCCGCACATCACAGGGTCTCTTACGCGTATTATCACATGTGATAAGGGTGTTCTTGCGTTCTCGTAAAATGGAGGTGTTCTCGTTTGAACCTCCACCTATATATATATATATATATATGAGCGATCAAATGCAAACCATTCATATTTGTGTATATATATATATATATTATATACTACTAAATTACGAAGATGTGTTGGTTCAGTGGTTCTTGATAAGAAAGAGTGAAATTGTGAGACAGGTCGAGACTTGAGAGAGTTTGGAAAAATTGCTTGTTGGGGGGAGTTGTTGGAGGGAGAGGAAGGTCCAACCACGCGTTATGATTGAGAAGAAAATACCAGTTTTTTGGGTTTTAAAATATTAAATGTACATATCGGGGCCTTTGTGCCTTGACTTTTAGTTTTTAAAAATACAAAAAAACTAGTACTATAAAGAGAAGTGCTACTAACGTCGTAAAGTTTATAAGAAGTAAAAAGAAAAAAAACCATTACCAACGTAGATCATTTGAGGCATACGCCTTGACATCGCCTCACGCCTCACTGAACCTAGGTGTAAGCCTCGTCCAGGGTCCAGGAGGTGTCGCCTTTGGTGCGGTTTTTGGCCGTCTCAAACGATTTTTAAAACCATGGTGATATCCATAAATATTTTTAGGACATGATAACCAACTATGCATGTTTTATTTATGATAAACATCGTGATAGATATAAGCCGTTTGGTTCCAGGTTCGTTCTGTTGATAAGCTTGATATATGGCTACTTTTACGATGGAATTGAACCAAGTTGGTTTCTTGGAAGTTTTATTCGTAATGTGTACAAAAGGAAACCATTATTTTGAAACAAAAGTCACCACCTATGGTTCTATAGCTAATGCCTGGAAGACTTGTTAATGTTGCGGGAACCATTCCACAGTGATTGGTTTGGATTCCTAAACAGCGGCAATTCATTTTTCTCGTCTTCGTCTTCGTCCTCATTCAATTCCATTCCGACCTTGGAAGGACACATCCCATTGAAAAACATCCCTCGGAATTCATTCCCTTCGCTTTTCATCACCACCTTTGTCTCTTGTTCTTCATCGTTCCCTGCATTCAGATTCTTCTCTACCAGTTCCTTAAACATGGATGACCTAAGCAGGAGGCTTAGCGCAGATGGAGCAGATGATGAGGAATCGGTATCAGCCATCAACGTCTTTGTGTCGAGAAGTTGTTGGTCCTGGGAAGCATTATTAATCCCCAATTGTAACGAACTGGAACCGAAAGGAAACCGAGGCTCCTCCACGACATGGTGGGGGGCGGTGATGGCGGGCGGCAACGTCTGATCTTGGGATTGGGAGGTGGCGGCAGCGGAATTGGAGCCGGATCTCAACCATCTTATGTACGTGCTCAAGTCGAAGTTTGTTACTGCATTGATTCCTCTATATTCGATTGCTGCAATATCGTAAGCATGAGCAGCCTCCTCTTGAGTACCTGGAGATGGTCAAGTCGTTACCGAAGCTTTATGTCGGGTTGCGTAACATTTTCGGAACTCGTTTATACGAATGGGACCCACAAGATAAAAAGGGTAAAATTGGCAATAAAAGTAACTCACTGTAAGTGCCAAGGTACAAATACTTGTTGCCAAATACCCTTCCTATCCTTGCTTCCCATCTACCATTGTGATGATGCCTGCACTCATAAACAAACTCTAACATCTTGATTAAATTGAAAACAAGAAGAATATAAAATTTAAGGAAAAGCTTTGTAATGAAATGACCTTGCAACCCCTCTGTACTTTGATACCCCTCTTGAGAAACCGCTGCTTCTTCTGTTAAGCAAGGGCAATGTAGTCATTTTGGAAATCTTTTAAAAAAAAATTCAAATGAAGTACCTTCTTAAGGTGGCCAAGTACTCCTCCTTGGTAGTGTTCTCCATGATCTCTAATTCTTTCTCATAGTCAGTCACCTGAAACATATAAGAATATGTTATAATCCTCTGCAACGAAATTGAGTTTACAGGACACTTTCAATCTTTAAGCGTTCCAGTAGACTGTTTTATAGGACTTAATTTATATGGTCAAAATATAAAGCGTCATATAAAGATGTTGTAATAAGTTTATATGACTCTTTTGAGCATCTTAACAAGTTTTTTAAGACATTTTTAATACAAAGTGTCCTAAAAACTCAATTTTTTTATAGGACAATTTTTCAAATAATGTTCTATTTAGTTGATAATGAGACGTTTTATATTAAAAGTGTCCTAAAAAACTTATTACGACGTCAAAAAACGTCATATAAACTTATTATAACACCTTTAGATACGACACTTTATTTTTTTGGTCCTATAAATTAAGTCCTATAAAGAGGTCTATTAGGACACTTAGAATTTGAGAATGTTCTATAAACCCGATTTTGTTGTAGTGATCATTTGATTTTTTAAATTTATATAATATGTGAATATAATAAAGAAATTAATTAATTAATTAATTAGTTTGTATGATTTATGTTTATAATTACCGGGAAATTTGTAAATGTCGTGGTTCCCCAATACTTGATTGCAGCCAAATCGTATGCTCTTGCTGCGGATTCTTCTTCATCATACGCCCCTGATGGATTTACCAAGTTTGTTTGACTTTAAAGAAATAATGACAAAATATATTCTAACAGTATTTTTAATAAAGTAATTATGTTCGGTATTGATTTATAGATTACCAAGATAAACTGCTTCATCAGTAGGTGCGTCGTTGTACATGAAATAAAGAACTCAAATTAGCAATGATCGTTAAGAGACAAACAAATAAAACAACCAAAAAAAAGTATTGGAAAACGTGATTTGGTTGTGGGACCATGAAGATCTCAAATTTTGTACAGTTTAAGGCATTTTTTTGTCGTTATTTGTTATGTGATATGTAAATTGTGACCATTGTTTTTACTACTGTTAAAAGCACATATATAATTAACCTTGTTTTCCTTTCTTCTTTTGTGTCGCGTTCCACGACCCTTTATCCCATAAGTGAGCCTCGTATCTTCCTGTCCATCGATGCCTGTAGATTAAGACTTGCAAGCTTCGTCATTTAGAAAGGAAGAGAACATTCCTTAAATTCCAGTATGCATGAAGAAAGTAAAAGAAAACGTTTAATGTCAAGAAAAACAATGTCCCTAGACGCTAGGCATAAAAAAGTCGACCCTTTAACATATGTTTTCTTGTCTATATCTGTAATTTCTCCAAACCTGCTGACTCCTCGGAACTTCGAGCTTCTCTTCACTGTGGTCGGGGTGGTGGGAGTTGTAGTGGCGGTTGTGACAACACCATTAGAATGATCAAGAAGTGGCGTCGTAGGTGCCGGAAGTTGGTTTTCTTTAGCACCACTGGACTTGTGATCATTCAACGCAAGCATAGATGGACACCTGCGTCGTCTCTTCACAACTGCACTTGACGCATCGCTTCCACCGCTAAACGAGTTGCGTCTTCTTAAACTTGCTTCGGATTTTGTAGCAATCAAATCCATACGAGAACCTCGCTCGAATGATGAGAGAGAAGACATGCAAAAGCTTAGTTTTTTTTAATATAGGATTAATTTTTTTGGCATGTAGTCTAATTGGGAATTTAAAACAAATTAAATCTACTAAAAGACAAAAAAATGAACGATAATTTCAAGTCCATGTCTCATGGAAATATAAATATTATATCATTAATTCATTTTCAAATATTTTTATATTTTCAATTATTTCACAAAAATGCTTCATTTGATAACATATTTATGAGATTAATTATGGTTAATAATTTTTCTTAGATTACATGTTAAGTTTTTTTATAATAATTTCATCATTGGTACAAAATTTATGTTGTCGAAGTTAAGAATTATATCAGTTATAACAAACCATAAACGGGTATAATATTTTATAATTTGTAGTTGATTTTTACTTTTTATCTAATATGTGTTTGTTTGTTCGATCCTCCATTACTCGTGCATTTGTTTCGATCCTGACACGAATCGCATAAAATACAAGAAAAAAAAAGATAAGTTGATGCATTATCGAGGAGCAGCAAAAGAACCAAACCAAGACGGCTACATAAAAACCGACAACGGGAAAAGTTTAAGAACACAAAATCTTCAACGACGACTCGGAAACATGTTTTTGTATCTTATGAAAAATGTTGCATAGATTTTTTTTAGGATACAACGTCAAAAATGTTGGTTTCTAGCTGCCCTTTGTGTGGTGGTTTTGTGTTTGTATTATGAAATTGGTGGAGATAACTATGAGAGAAATCAGAATCGGAATATACATTGTTGTGGTTTTTTTTAATAATAAATTATAGAATGTGTTTGAGAAGACTGTCTTTTTAAATAAGATGAAAACTAAAAAAAGAAGAATCGTGTTTTACTAGGCTTGAAAATTCACCCTCACTGAAATAAAATGATTAATATGTGTTTTTTGTCGTTTATGAAAATATCAAAATTACGTTTACGAGTTATATAAATGCTGTATTTACAAAATCTTATAATTTTTTTTGTTAACTTGTAAATGTGAATTCGAGCGCTTGCCCACAAGTTTTTTTTTATCAGGTTTTCACTCTGTTAAAAATGTCGATGCTAAAACAATAAACATAAATGTTACCAAAAGAGGCTTTAGTCAGTGCGGTTAGTCATTACTATTTTAATTAAACTAGTTAAAGCGTATGTATATCCATGCCACACATTCAAACTCGACAAATCAATCATTCTCTTAGTGTGCGTTTGGTATGTGAAAGTGGCTGGACGAGCAATAGTAAGGTACGAGTAACTGCATTTTGGATCATGAACCGAGTCACTATTTTTAAGTAATATTTCCACTCTATTACAGTTTATGGATATCACATAATTTACTCAGAAACAATCCAAATATGCATTCTATATTTAAAGGCAGAATCGAGAACAAAATACACTAATCTTGCTGGGTTTTTCATTATTTAAAATAAGATTGGAAATCCCCTTATATAAGGAGTTACTCACAAGTTAATTTGGGTAGTTAAGTAGTTATTAGTAGATAAAAATAGTTTTTTTAATAATTACTAAGAATAACGTCAACAATGGTTACTGCACCAAAGTTCATAAGACAATTTCCTTCTGAATCCAAATTCCGCATTCTAAAGTGAAGTTGAGAGACTATATTTCTTCTAAATAGAAGTTCAGAAAGCTACACGCCTTCTAAATAAGAGTTCAGAATGCTACACTACACGCCAAGAATCCCGCAACAGGATTGACCCCCGATTTATGAAGATTTTAGTTCCATGATAGCTTATACCAACATGCACTCCACACCTCCTAACTCATATTATAGCGTGCGTAACTAATGAACTTCATCATTCTCATGTAAATCACAATCATACTAAAATGCTGGATACATTGAAAATCACCAACAGTTTCCTCTCTCTATATAAGGTCATTGCATGCCTTCAACATTCTCATTCTCCCTCTCTTCAAACGAAAATTGGAGAGGTTTCAATGGCGGAGAAGTCATAAAGACACGGTGTTACGTTATATAAAGGAGAGGAAATATTAAGAAAAGTTAGGATAAGAATATTTATAATAGTCAGTACGTCGAAACAAAGTATCATGAGCATATCAAACACATCGACAACCATTGTTAGGATTGAAGTCGTAGCAGATAGGCATAGGAATGGAGCGAGGACCCCAATCCTCATCCCTGTCCCCGATTCAATTTTTGTCCCCGGAGAGGAATCAAAGATTTTTTTTTTTTCTTTCTGTTTATGTGAGATATTTTAAATAAAATGTGTTAAATATCATGCTAGATTGATAATGATCCATGTTTAAATCTCATGTATTTCTAAAATTTTGCTTTTATGAAATATCAAATGTTCATATGTTAAGAAAATCACAACATATGTAATTGTTTGATTAAACGCTTTCGGTTCTCCATGTATTTTATCTAAAAAAAAGTAAGACAAATATATATATATATATATATATATATATATATGAAGAAATGCCAAAAAAACACTTTTTAAATTTAAAATATAATTTATTATTTATAAATAATACATCTAATAATACATATATAATATATATAAGAGAAATTGACTCAACTAACCATACTTCACAACCAAATTAATCTTCTAACTATTTCTTTCTGGACTTTACCCAAAAGTCACAAGGTCCGTAGTACACATGTTCACAATTATTACGGACCCATTAAACGACAAAAACAACGACGTTTTTGGGCTAGGTCCATAACCATCGGTCCGGAACTATTACATATTCAACCCAAACCCATTTTCCTATAAATCGGCGGATTCAAAGAAAATGGATTGGGCCGAATCCGTAATAATTACGGACTTGTGGTTATGGACCTGATCAAAAAACTCTAAATTTTTTTTTTCGTTTTGTGGGTCTGCAATAATTACGGACTTGAGTATTAAAGACCTGGTGACTTTTGGGTAAAGTCACTAGGTCTTAATAACCAAGTCCACAATTATTGTAAAGTCTGAAGGAAAATAATTTTGATTGTGGAATATAGTCATTTGGATCAATTTCCCTACAATTAATATATGGGGACGAGATGGGTCGAAAAACATGTTGCCTGACCTCGTCCCAACCTCCGATTTTTAACTTTTAAGGATCTCGATCCAATTCCAATCCCCAGTTTCATGGGAAATCTCTAACCCTGTATGCACAGGATTTCCTAATTAGACAGGCCTGATTCCCGTGCGTTATTCGCTCCAACGTTATTTCTATTTATTTCAGTTAATTTAAGAATTTATTTGATCAATATTAATTAATACCAAAGAATTTATTTATTAAAAAATATTAAAAATGTAAAAATTTGTAAACTTTTATCTAGATTTTCTCTAAATTTTATAAGCAGAAAGATGGATGGAGCATATCTAACGGCTAGAGTGAGGGCAAATGATATGGTGACGCGTGGAAGAGCATCGAACCAAGGTAGATAGCGTAATGATTCTTTAATAATTTGACATTCTGGACGAGGCTTGTACGTCACAGCATACTACGCTGCCCCCATCTGTCAAAACTGAAATATTAATAATTAAAAAATATTTTATATTAATAATTGAATAATTTTATATTTAAACTTTTTTTTAAAAAAAAATTATAAGAGTTCTCGCATAATACATTATAAAATTATTTAAAATTACATTTATTTATAAAATTACTTGAATTTTTGTAATATCCATAGCCGATCCCGGTCCCACGAAACTACAAAAAACCCCAACCAGTCCCAGTTTTCGGTTCCATAACCTGTCCTTACCGGTCCTCCGGAGGTCCCTCGCCGGGCCAGGCTGGGCCGGGCCGATTTGGCCATCACTACTTGTAATCTTGTATTTTAAGTAATATGCATAAATAAACAGTATCTGATGCATAAAAAATAATTTTTAAGAGTTTTTTTTGTCGTATGTTTTATAATACTAGAAGGGTACTTGCACAATGCAGCGAGATAAATCTCGATTTTAATGTTTCATTATGTTTTTCATCTCTATTGATGTTATAATACGGTTTTATGTGGTTTTGAGAAAACAATAATGTTTTTTTGAATAAAAATATAAATTTAATGACATCATAAAACTTTGAAAAAAAATATCGATGTGAGTATCAAATTAACTATTTAAAAGTTATATTTTTCTGTAATTAACTTAATTCAATGTTTTTCATTATAACTTAAATTAGGTTTGATAAATAAGTAACTTATTTTTGGTTTAATAATATAATTTTTATAAAGATAATATTTAAGTATTCTGTTATATTGATTATCCTAATTATATTTTAATTTTTTTATATATTTAAAATGAGATGTTCATTATGTTACATTATGAGCATCTGTTGTTAATTACACAAATTCAAACATAGAGTTTTAATAAATTTTACTTATGCACAATTTACTTGTGAACTTGAATTTTAAATAATATGCATCAATAAACAGTATTAAATGCATAACAAATGATTTTTAAGAGTTTTTGTCAAATGTTATATAATATAGTATAAACTATAGATAGTATAGGTAACCTTTTTGAAAAGATAAAAATAATCTTCAAGCATTCTCCAAGAGATTCCTTAAATTTTTTCCAAAAACTAAAGAAATAAAAGTTAAAATCTCTAAAAAATTATATTTTTCTCTATCACACTTTCCATGTTGATAGGAATAGGTTCTTTTTAGGTTTGACATAAGAGGGTAGTTCGTCAAATTGTATATTACAACATTGATTATAATATTAAAATATTATGTTCATTTATTAAAATCTTATTTTTTTTTCTAAATATTTATTTTCAAAGTTTCCTATTGGTTGTTTCAAGTGGTAATCATGTTTTGGTGGTTCTCCATATTTGGAGAAAAAAACCATTCTCTCTCTCTCTTATTTTCTTCATTTTAAAGTTAGTTTCGGGATTGCTGTTGGAGTAAAATGTTGACTCAAAATCCTCATTTTTTTCATTTTAGAAAAGCTGTTGGAGATATTCTAAGTTATATTAAAAAAATAATTATATGAAACAAATAC